CTTGATTTGTTAAAGCCCAAGTAAAGGCTCTAGTGGTGACCCGAATCAATTGTATATTCTTTTAGCCTCTTTTATAAATTTTTTTAATACGTTTCTTTGCACGATATATTTTTTTAATTGTATGAAAAGCGAAATATTTACTATGTATTTGAGATGTAACGGAGGTTTATCGGAACCGGAGGTTTAAACTAAGACTTTTAATTTACATTTTATAAACAACTTTTAATAAATATTTTACTTTAACTTCCTAATATCAAAACAAAGTTGTCTTAAATCAAAATTCTCAAATCAGAACTTGAGAAAAAAAATTTGAATTTTTCGAACGTGAGAAAATCAATGGGAACCAATCCAACCATATCAAAGCAGCAGTCAACGCTCCGTTACATCTTTTTGATATGCACATTTTGCTTTTTTATATACGCATAACAATTCGATTCCAATAAAGAAAATTTGAAATTTTCGTTGCACCTTCGATACATCTCCGTTACTCCGTAAATTATCTCCGTTACATTCCTACTAAATATATAAAACAAATAGTAACTAGAACTGTACTATTTTTGATAAAAAGTTAACTTATAATTAATTTGAATATGCAAATGAAAGTATGTCATCTAAACTGTTAAGTGCTACACGTTACAATTTCCTTAGGGAAACATGTTAAGATCTTTTGTAATTCTGATTAGTATTAATAATCTATTCAAACTTTATAAATTAATAGCTATTTCGTTTGCAAATGATTCTATTTTATTTCTTTCTGATAAAAACATTGTAACGCTATTTAACAAAATGAACATTGAACTTGATTGAAAAAAATGAAACAGCTTAAATAAAACTTTTATTAATGTTGATAAAATTAGTTTTTTAATTTTAATGTTGAAAAAACTAGTTTTTTCTAAACAAAAACTCACCAATACGTGAGTTTTATTGTTTAGTTTATGCAGTTGACAAGACTGTTTAGGAATTTTCGAGTTTTCGCATACTTCATTTTTAATTTAACAAAATTTTCATTCGTATCGTTTTTTTCTTGTTTATATATTCCTATTGGAAATATATTGTATAAAATTTGTAGTGAAGAAAAAAATAAAATTAAAACAAAAAAGAAACACACGTCACATTTTTTTTCAATAATTACGTTTAAAAGTCTTTTTAACGTTTTTTAAACGTCTTCTAGACCTTACTTTGGTTAAAATGTTTGAAAGAAGTTTAAAAGAAGTTTAAAACGTAATTTTTAAAAGCAAATGCCCGTTGGGTGGATTTTATAATAAATTTACTTATAATTGAATTTACTTATAACCTGAACAAATAGACCTTGGGAGTTGTAATACTATCAATTCCAGAGACAATCATCAATAATGTAAACATCAGTGTTGCATATCTTTAAGTTGTAACATTATACGTTCAATACGTGCTGGACATATACAACACACACGTGCTAACCTTAAATAAATGTCTATATTAAAGAATTTAGTATCTGGTGATAATAATGTCAAATGAGGAGCAATATATGGCGTAATGGCTTAAAACTAAATTGGAACGGAATATGTGTTGACCTTTTTTTTTTAGTTTTATTTAGGTGCCCCAATAAGTCTTTACGGTCTTATCACGAGTACCGTAGATGAGCAATTAATTGGCAGTTCACGCCTCCTTCCTAACCAATGTCGCAAAAATTTGCCCAGAGTTAGGGTTTGAACCACAGATCCTTTGTTTCTGAGGCAAGTGCGCTACCACTACGCCACGGCTGCTCAATATAAAACCTTTATATTTTTTGAAAAAGGAACCCAACCTCTTAGCAATCGTTTTTAATTATACGTTAATTAAAAGTTGAAATTTACTATAAGAAACTCCACACAATATTGTTATTTTTAACTTTTTTTCTCAAATTTTTCAAAATAAAATTTTTTATCTTTCTGTATTTTATTTCTGTATACTTTTTTATTATTTTGCCACAAAATAATAAAAAGTGTTGATGACAAATTTATTAACTGCTTGTTTTTAAGAAACACTAACGTAGTGAAACAGTTTTAATTAAAGTAAAGACTTTTTTTTCTTTTTTAAGTAACGTGACAACATCTTTGTATTCTTTTATTTAAGATGGAAGTTGTACTCACGTAAGAGCTCTCGACTTGAATGAATTGTTTTAGCATTTTACATAGAGTTAGTTTTAATTCATTATTGATTTCTAGATAGAAAAAAACAAGTATACATTTTTTTTTAAATTCTAATTTGCATAAACGTGTTAGTTTTTTTGTCATCACTCGTTGCCACACTGATCAATTTACTGACAAGATAGTGAGGGTAATCTTTACAAAGGTCTGATTCTGTTTATAATTGTTTTCCGCAACATAAAAAAATATTTTATGCAACTTAAGCAATCCCAGAATCCGATTTAAATAAAAATTCAATTAAATAAGAAATTCCAAAATCCCAATTAAATAAAAAATTGGTGAAAGCAAGTTTAAATTGAATGACATCTACTGCTTTGACAATTGATTGCTGATAATTGCTAATAACATTTACGCATTGACTGGTAATATATATTTATGTAACAACTTTTTCAAAATTCCTCAGGATTTATGAGTCATGTATTTATTAGTCAAAAGAAATTATTTCTAGCATTTTTTTTCTAAAGATTTTTTTCATAGAGTACGGGAAAAAGTTTAAAAGTTTGTAAATTTATAATTTGGATAGTATATAATTTTAAAAATCCTTGAGCATTTGATTGCTAGGCAAAATTTACAGTACAGTTCCACTAAAAGATACTGTGTTATCACACAGACTTATAAAGCACTAGTTGTAATATTGCAAATTTTGGTTTATTGAAGTTATTCTAAATAAAGAATATGATGATGGTATAACAACGCATTTTTTGAACGATATTTTTTGAAGTATCGTTCTACGATTTGTTATAAAACTTGATATAACCTACATAAAAAAATTAAATAAGTCTGTGAGATATATGGTTCACTTTAAACTCTATGTTTATGATATATTTCTAAAAATTATTTCAACTGGATGGAAGTTCAGCTCAGATTCAGTTCTAAAGAACATTCTCATGAGCTAATGATACTACTACCTGGTAGGAAATGAACTAGCAACTAGCGAATAGCAAATAGCTAGCAACTAGCAAATAGCTAGCTAGTTACTCCTAGTTGCTATGCGTAAAAAACGCGTTTAAGACGTATGAAATACGTACTAAAGTCATCTTGCTATCTTTTTCCCACCAGGTAGATGAAATGTTAAAAATATACAATCAAAACAATGCATAAAAACCTAAACAAAATATTGAAAAAACTTGTTTTGTCTGAGAAAATGTCATGACGACAAACTAAAAGCTAAGTTTGTTGATTGCAAATCAGTCGGTAGAAAGTTTATATTGAAAAAATAAAATAGCCACATTTTATAGTATTTAAAATACTCTTTAGCCACATTTTATAGTATTTAAAATACTATTTGTGGCATTTTGTTTTGTGTTAATAAAGACGAAAAATTTTCCGCTCCAATTAGGCATTGAAAAAATAGCTCTTTCTAAAAATAGTTTTTCATTACAAAACTTGCTGAATGTGGTTTGTTATCGGTTTGCATTAACTTGTGCAGTTAAATAGTTTTAATCAATCATATGACATTTCTAGCAAAAAGAATCCAAAATCATTCTTAGAATATTTTTTTATTTTTAGTTACTTATGATAAATTTATTATATTTTTATTCTTGAAAGGTAAAGTTTTTGCATTGTTTTTATTTAAATTCCTAATTAGCTCCACAATACATGTTTCAGTCTGCGTGGTATAAAGAAACAATAAAAATATGGGCATTGCTTGCACAAACTCTGAAACTATTTTTGTGTATCCCATTTCATTCATTTACCGAAATTTAGGGTTAGCATATAAAATGTTTCCTTGCAAACAATAGTATTCGTAATTGAACTTGTAAAGTATATAAGTGCGGTAAAAAATTAACTATATGTTTGTAAAAGGTGTTTTTGATATTATTAGACTTTTCAAACTTTTAATAATTATTGCCATAAATAAATGGGTGACAATAAACACAACGTATACGTAAAACAAATATCAGTCCTGGAACCAAGAGAAAAAATCTGTTAATGATATCTCAAACAAATATTTGTGGTAACATCTCATATTTTTAACGATTAAAAATGTATTTTAGGATTTTTTATAAGTATATCAAGCTTAACAAGCTGCATAATAAGCTTTGAGTAGGCGTTTTTAGAAGTTTATTGAGTTCAAATCGCGATCTAGGATAAAATATCTAGGGGAGGGAGTCAAAAGTTGAATGTACACAAATAGATTTTTTATATTTAAGGACGTATATTAACTATACTTTTATGAAAATTTAATGTCAAAAAGACCAATCAAATTCAATCACAGTCAATTCCAGGGTCATTATCAGTATAAAAAGAACGGGAGCTTTTTTATAAAACTTTTGCATTAAAATTTTATTATTGTTGTGATATTTAATAGAAAGTAAATACAAGTTTGTATATATCAAATAAACAATATGTTAATAAACTTGACAAAAATAACGTCAAGCTTGATCAAAAATGACTCATTAGATAAACATATACTAAAGCTGTAAAGAATTCGTGTATTAAAATTCTTAACTCGCAAATTCTATTCGTATTTAAAGTCAAACTTTTTGCACTTTTACTATGTTTTTTTTTTTACAACTTGGTATTTTGCATTTTTTTATTTTTATTTTTACTTTTTCTTTATGTTTGGCTTCTTTTTTTTACCAAATTATTTAGTTACCTTTAAAATGCTAACTTTTTTAAATTACTTTCTAAATAATTTTTAAAAAACTTTTCTAAATTTTTTTTGATCTTTCTAGAGTCTCAAAGATCAATTTCTATATCGTTATTGAAATATTTTTAGGTGCTTTTATTTTGAGACAATTACTTGTTGTGTTTTTCTTTTATTGGTTGTGTGAACCTAGGGCATTATTTTTATTGGAGTAAACAACAAAACAGTAAAATGAAAAAGGTTACTTTATATCTCTTGGCAAAGTCTTTCTATAAATTCGCCATTGTTCAAAAGTTCCGCAAGACATTTTCCAAATACCTTTTTACGTTTGCTTCGATATGTTAAATTTCTTGGAATATCAACGTTTGTTATGCAAGTAATAATCCAGGATAGATCAGTCATCATTCATTAACATCTCATTTATATATTACAATTATCTCAATTTATAATAGAATTCTTTTTAAAGTTAATTAAACTAATAAATAGAGATAAATTAAAAAACATGTAATAAACAAGTCCATATCTAGAACCTCGTAAGTCACACAAATTTCAAAGTTTTAATATTTAAATTAACTCTTCTCCGTGTTTTATTTTTTCACCTTGAATCTTCTCCGCGCACAGAGTTTTTTCCTAAACAAATAATATCATTTTTAAAGTTTATTTAAAATACTGGACAAACGCACTAAAAGATTTAGTGCATTTTAAAAAAATTATTCGTAAATTTAAAAAATTAATATTAAAAATGTCAATATTAAATTTTTATCATAAAAGCGTTTATAAATTTAAAATTTAAATTTAAATTATTTTAAATTTTAAATTACAATAATTTGGTACCGGTTTAAATAAATATTTATTAAAAATGTTAAAATGTCACTGAGAAGAAGGGACTTTGAGCTGAAAAGAGGTTTTAATAAAAGGAAGCCATTTACTAAGCATAACAAACTGCTCGCTGTCACATATCGCTGTTGTACATAAAAAGTTAGGTTTACATTTAAAACAAAAAAAACCACAAACCATAAAATGACAAAGACAATTTACAAATTTAATTTTGATTTATTTAGTTGAATGTGTGTGTATATATATATATATATATATATATATATATATATATATATATATATATATATATATATATATATATATATATATATATATATATATATATATATATATATATATATGTATATATATATATATATATATATATATATATATATATATATATACACATATATATATATATATATATATATATATATATATATATATATATATATATATATATATATATATATATATATGTATATACATATATATATATATATACATATATATATATATATATATATATATATATATATATATATATACATATATATATATATATATATATATATATATATATATATATATATATATATATATATATATATATACATATATATATATATATATATATATATATATATATATATATATATATATATATATATATATATATAGAGTAGTAGTCAAACAAATAAACACTGCATATAAAATTTTTATTTTTATTATTGTTACTATAATGTAAGATAAGATTAAGTTTAATATTTCTTAGCACTAGAGACTTTCAAAAAATCTACTGATAATTTTTTGAAAGTCTCTAGTGCTAAAAAATGTTAAACTTAAATTTAGTGTGTCTTACTTAATAGTAACAATAATAGAAATAAAAATTTTATATGCAGTATTTATTTGTTTGACATTTCAAATTATATACATATATATATATATACATATATATATATATATATATATATATATATATATATATATATATATATATATATATATATATATATATATATATATATATATATATATATATATATATATATATATATAGTATATATATATATATATATATATATATATATATATATATATATATATATATATATATATATATATATATATATATATATATATATATATATATATATATATATATATATATATATATATATATATATATATATATATATATATATATATATATATATATATATATATATATATATATATATATAGTAGAAAAATACTAACAATTTTTTTTTTATTTTACACAATGTTTTATAAGTCTTCATAAGAATATGAAACACGGTGTCAAATACAAAAAATTGATAAGTGATTTTTTTGCTAATTTACTGCTTTGTTCTTTTAAGAACATTGAGCGCTCTATTTTGTAGAAAACATTTCAAGTTATTCTTTAATGTTATTAGTATATGCGTGCGTGCGTGCGTGTGTGTGTGTGTGTGAGAATACAAAGTGGTTAAAATAGTGACATTATGAAGTTTTTATTACACTCCTATCGCAAATGTTATTGGTAATTTAACAACACAGTTTAAAGTTTTTAATGATATATTTATAAAAAAAAAAGTTGCAAAGTTAACAGCTTGACAACAAAAAAATGTTAGTGTAACTAGAACAAAACCTCATTTGTGTGACCTAATCCAAAATTAGTTGCTAGCCAATCAAAAAAATACACTTTGAAAAGGATAAGAGCTGTTTTAGGATTTTAAACGTTTTTAACAAAAGAAAAGAAAGATAAAGTTTAAAAAAAATCTTAAGATGACTTAAAAAAAAAATTTTAAGAGAGTGAAAGTTCTATGTTTCTAGTCTCAAGAAAAAAACTTAAATCAATTGTTTTGTCCGACAAAGAAAAACCCTTACATTAAAAAAAAGATAAACTATAGTGGTTCTAACCACTGCACCACGCCAGTCATGGCAAAAACAAAAATCCGTGCTTGAAGATACTTCATTTGTTAAAGGTATGCACTTTTTTTTTTATTTTAAAGAGTTTTTTTTTTTTTTAATTAACAAATAAAAAATTTCATTTAATGAATTTTGATATTCGGAAATGGTGTAAAGTTTGCAGCCTACTAATATTAAGGCCTGGGGAGTAGTTTCACATGTTTTGTTGTTTTGTATTAAAAAGTAACTAATTTTTAAAAAGCAGTTATTGTTTGTTCTTTTTCATAACATAAACACACGCATATTTGGAGTTTGCTCAATGCTGAAAAAAAAAAGAAACTCAAATACTAATAAACGTGCGTCTAGTGAGCATCATAGTCCTTGCAATGTATCCTAGTTACAATGTATCATATTTAGAATATGTCCTAGTTATAGTTTACTCTGTTTTGTATTGTTTTCTTAGTATGCATCGTACAAACTTGGTATTTGTTATTACATTTGAAGATTTTATTATTAAAATAACTTTTATATAAATGAATTTTTACTAGCATATAGTTTACTAGATGATAGTAATGTTTACTAGATGATAGTAAAATTACTTGGAATAAAGTATCATATAATGCTTTATTAACAGTAAAAAAAGTATAAAACATTTTTCCAGTCAATCTGAGAAAATCGCTTAGTAACCGCTCTTGAATAGTAACCAATCTTCTCAGAATGACTGGAATAAGATATGGGCATAGTAACCATAACAGCCCAAACAAGGCTCAATTAAAATATAATATATATGTATATATAATATATATGTATATATATATATATATATACATATATATTATATTTTAATTGAGCATTAATTCCTTTATTTAATGCAAATATTAATCGTGGAGTGAAAATTTGAAACATTTTCGTTAAATATTTTACAATAACTAGTTAAACTAATTATGATAATTAATTAAACTAATTATCATAATTAGTTTAATTAATTATATCTAATAATGTTCTAGTATAGGATACAAAAATTGACATCAAATTTGTTTTAAATAAAGCAACTATACTCTTCATGCAGAGTTCCTATTTTTAAAAATTGCAAACCATTAAAACCTGTTCATACTAAGCCTCAAAGAACGTTTCATAAATTTGTCAAAAAAAAAAAATTTAAACAACTGGAGTCGGAATCGGAGTTGTACTCAAAAAATTTAAACAACTGGAGTCGGAGACGGAGTCGTTACTTTTTTTTTAAGACTCCACACCCCTGATTAAAACAATGAATTTAAATTGTCAATTTTTTTGTCAAATTTCAAAAGACAAAAACAAGGTTTAGCAACTTGATGAAGAAAAAAAAACTAAAAACATTCTAAAAAAACGAAACTTATTTCAGAGCTGACAACATCACGGGACGGGGGTAGGCCAAGTGGGCTCTTGCTCCCCCCCCTCCCTTCACACATCCACATACACACACTTTTTTCTAAAGGACTTTTTTTTTTTAGACATTTCTATCGCCCCTCCATTTTGAAACCTTTGTCGTTGGCCTTGCTGTTAGCACTTCATAAGTTGCGGGGATAAAGATAATATCTAATGTTTATAACTAATCTTCAACAGCTGGTTATAAAAAGAATAACAAATTGTTTATACCTGCATTTTGATTGCCATCTTTGCCATCCACTTGACTTTAAAAAAGAATGCATGATAATATAATAGTATAATAACTTTATTTAAGTTTAAAAATTGAAGTCCTAAAGAGAAGTCCTGAAGACTCTAATAAGGTTAGACAATTTTATTGCCGAAAACTACTAAAAAAAACCGCTTTATAAATGGGTTTATATCACTCTATATTGGTTTAGAGAAAAAGTTTTTAACTGACATTTTTGCGGAAACAACACGATTTGAATGTCAAGAACTTCAACTTTTTTTCGGAATTTTTGATTTGCATCGAATAGTGCGAGAGATCTCAAACTTCAAAATGCTTTTTCTCGGTATCGCAAAAATAAAAATAACAGCAACAACTTTTTTTCTCTGAGCCCGCAATTATAATTGACGTAAAAAAAAAAAGTACGTATAAAAAAAATTTTTGTTAAATAAATTTAAAAATTTTTTTTTTACTTAAATAAGTTGTTAATATAGAAACAAAATCATAATACTTTGGTACATATCTGAGCAACTAAAAGTAAAAAATACGCACATTTTTATTACCTGCTATTTAGGTATAAAGTTTAAAAGAATAAAAAAAAAAATTAAATTAAATTTAGGGGATAATTATCGAACTTAAAACACCTTGTGGGATAGTTCCCGAACTTATAAATAAATTTTATGCAAAGTTGTCTTTAAACGCATTTATGATTTAATTATATTACATTTATGTTTGACTTAAAAAAATACACTGTTATTGGAAATAAATCTGGTTTGGTCGAAGCATCATTTTGCTCCAAACAAAGCAATCGTTTACCTGAATTAGAAAACCTTTATTTTTTTTATTATTTTTTTTATTTCATTTTTAATTTTGCTGTAAAAATAAATTACAGATGAATTTTACATGGTACATCAATAAATAAAATATTTTAAAAACAGACGGGGACTCAAAGAATATATAGATGATGCAATATCACCTCAATCTTTTCATAGAGTCCCTTATTATAATAAAATATTGATATTTAAAATTATAAAATACTCAAAAAGATATATAAAAATCCATTAAAGATGTAAAAATAACAAAATAAAATATATATAAAATAAACTAAAGAAATAATAAGAAAGTAAATTATTTTTACAATTACAAAGATATTTTGCAATAACTATATTGTAATTTTAGGTATTCAAAGAAATAAATACAA